CTGAGCCTCTGTTAAAAAGGAAGGTCAACAAGTTTTAGGTGTTAGGGAGAGGTTCATCTTTCATTGAGACTGTCTCCTTGAAGTAATCAACCAAAAAGGAAGCAAGTCTCCCAGGAAGATTCAATGGGTGTCTGAATAACTCTTAAAATTTTCTCATGGTACGAGTGAAAGTTTATGCCATTGTGGAAAATGCCGCCCTCAGCAGGCTCTCCTTGCTGTAATAGCCTGTGGCCAGCTACCTGACCACAGCTGACTGCTACTGCCCAACTGGAGTCCATCCACTGCTACTGCCCAGGCCTGCCTCATACTGTATTCCAGGCCAATCAGGCCTGGACAGCTTCTCTGCCCCAGTGAATGAGCTTGGTCCTAAGTCGAGATGAGTCAACAACATGAAGTGAAGAAGATACAAGAACTGACAATTTTCAATCCTTTCCTAAGTGACAGATACTGTGACTTGATAATTTACATAGATTGTCTCAAATCCCTCCAAACTTCAGCCATTCACGTACTGCCTTATGCTACCTCTCTGACTGGTAGTATTCACTTACTTAGTATTTCTCTTTAAATTGATTTGCCTTTTAGAACAACACACAATTTTATTTTCAAATGGAATGCTATATTATTCCCATAAATCACAGAATTTCATATGTAAGTTATATATTTCTAACATGCATCAACTTTGAGCTATTAAAATAATAAATGTTCATCTGCATACCACCCCAAACAATCTTACATAGCATCAGTCACACAAATGCCAGCCTCGAGGAAATACTGGAACGCTGTCGTTAATGCTCATGTATCTTAGGAGGATAGCTCCTGGATAAGAACTTGGAGGCTCAAAATGTCACCTGCCTGAAGTCCCATCAGAAAGGGATGAGGTTAGGATTTGGATCCAGACACTTTGCCTCCAGCTGCCTAGACTATTTCAACACCAGTGCTTTCCAAATGCATTTTTTTAAATCTAAAGAGTCCTTTAAAAATAAAACGACATGTGGAAATTCAATATATAAAGCAAATAACCACTGAGCTTTCGTGATTGAAGTGGAGCTGGGGAGTCCAGAGCTGCTTCTTTGGAGCCTTCCTTTCTCCAAGCCCATCCTATTAATGGCTCTCAAGAACCTTTCTCAGAAGTGTGGGCCTCTGAAGAATGGTATTTTAAACCTACACCTCACTACTCTGTCCCTTGACTCTATTTCGTTCAATTTTCCCTGGGATCCAAACTCTGAGGGGCATCTTCATCTCTGCTATCGTTTTTGGCTGGTGTTTCTGTTTTTGGACCTTGGCCATCTTGATATCTTGAAATTTTCCATCTTGCCCTCTTGAAATATTCCACTGGATTTCTAAGCCTTGCTTTGACCTCATTATTCATTCCTCAAATGCTGACACCTAAACTGTACCCAGGTTTTCAGAGGGCACAAAAGGGGACTTAGAGGAATAGATTTCCTTTGGTGGGTTCCCACACCAGTGTGGGAAGCAAACACAGACTTGGCCAAGAGCAGTATGGAGCACTCCTGCTCGCACGAAACTCATTTGCTGCTTCACTTGCGGTCTTTCTCAGGTGCCTGATGGCATTCTCTAATGGGAAATGGCCAAGACAGGCAGGTCAAAGGCCCTGGTGGTGCCATCTACCCTCCACATTGTGATGCCTGAGGTCTTACCTGATCCCATACTGTGGCTCTTAAACCACTGTTCCCTTCAGCAAAACAGTATTTAATATAAGTCTGGAGTTGGAATTAGACCTTCCTCAGACACCCAAATCCTCACTCCAACAGGACAACCAATTGCCAACCATCCCAGTATCTGCAGTACAAATCTCTGCTGGTTCTTGGCCTCAACCTGCTTCTCTCCTTATTTTTGGATCTATTTAACTCCCTAAAATAGAGGCCATCCTCCTTCTGCACTGGGAAGCTCCAAGGGGCCCTCCTTACCCAGAAAGAAAGGAACCTACTCCCTTAAAATAAGAGTAAGATGCTAGCAGAATTCACATGAGTTTTGAAGAATCCCAGGGGATATTCTGCCTGTGGTACTCCCTAACCAATCCAAGAACGGCTGGGGTTTTCTCTCCATCCTGGCTATGGTCTAGTCCCTTCTGAGATGCCTCTATCTTTAGAAGACCCCAAAACGTCCTTGAGAGCATCACCTGTGGGGTTACTGGACCAGGTCTTAGCTAAGCCCAAGTTCTAGGAAGCTTCTCTCTTAATGGGTCTGAGAGCTGGGTCCATTCCTAAGTGTGAAACTACCCAGGTCATTGGAAGTCCAGTCAATCAGATCAGGCCAAAGCAAGTGAATCTACTCAAGTGAAGTCAATTCATTGCATACTAACTGCATTGCTCTGCCTGTACTTTGCTACCCTTAGCCAGGCTATAGTTTTGTGGGCGAAGCAGAATGCAACAGTTAACACTTTATTTTCTGGTACTGAGCTATATCCCTAACACCCTCCAACCCCTACATTTTAAAAAATTTTTGAGAGAGCATCTCTTTAAGTTGCCAAGGTTGGGCTCTAACTTGTGGTCCATCTGCCTCAGCCTCCCAGAGTTCTAGGATTATAGATGTGTGCTACCACGCCCAGCTAAAGAGACACATTCATGTCTCTCAGGAGTATTTTTGCTTTGAACTTAGATTCCAAACTCAAACTTTTCTTTGAGCTGAGGCAAATCTTTCTTTGTGCAAGGGGCTGGAGAAAGAATCTCCTTTTCTGACCTGGAAACTGCCCAACCAGCAGCCTAATCTCTTTAGTTTGCTTCCCAAGACTTCTCAGACCATTCTCCTGCTATGACCTTAACAACTCAGATTGCAGAGTCACTTGGTCCCTCACCTTTTCAGATCTGGTTCACTGTGTCACAATCCATTAGTTTATTTACTCCCAAACATGCACTGAGCTATGCACCATGCACTGTGTGCCAGACACCTTCCAGGCATAATGCCACTGAGTTCTCTGTGAGGGTTACACTGAGCAGTTCTCTGTGCAGTCAGTATGGATGCAGAACTAGAATTTAACCCAACCATAATTCCAAAGCCTGTGCTCTTTGCATCTCATCCCATTATCTCTTAGAACAATTGAATAGAATCTATAATAAAGGGTAGCGATAACTGAATACTTAAACACATTCTATATGAAGGGAGAGAGTGGATTAATGAATATTTTATGTAAGGCTGAATCCCGCCTGACTTGTTTATTAGAATTCTTTGAGAAGTGAACTACATAGGGAGAGAAAGGGTGACTTTCACAAAAAAGCCTTTGTCATTTCTATCCCAAAACCTATTAATAAAATTGATTCATTATAGAATTGGGCAGAGGTGGGTGGCAAGTGGGAGGGAGTCTATTTTTGCATGGATAGAGAACTGGCTTAGAGACAAGAAAGAGGGTGGGGATAAATGGGTGCTTTTTCCAATGGAGAGCCAGGGTACTGGGAATTGGGACTGAGTTCAGTTTTCTGTAATGCCCAGTACACATGCATTGATCACCCAGGTGTCCAGGTCCCGAGGTAACATGGGCTGGGGTATCAAAACAAGAGGGATTCAACTCTTATCCTGGAGAATCCCACAGAAGGAAGTAGCCAGTGACATCTCTAAGTTTGTAGGGCACAGGAAACTCCTCAAATGAATGAGATGCAAAGACATTGGAATTAAAACTGAAGAGAATGGCTGGGGGGTTGGAAAGAGCCCCAGGCAGCAATCAGAAGGTTTGAGGTCTGGTATCAGCTCTGGCACCGGCTTGGGTGACAGTAGTCTAGTCTTTCTGGGTGTCAATTTCCTCTCCTATACAGTGAAAGAGTTGAACTAGGTAACCTGTGAAGGTAGAGTACTCTGGATGGAGGACAGTGACTTGAAATAGGAACTGGTTATGAGAGAACCTTCATTTCTTTGGCCAAAATGTCCCCTTCCATCCCTGCACTGTGATGGGGGACCGCTCTCTCTCTCTCTCTCTCTCTGTCTCATTTGTGAGCAGTGATGGTGAGGCAGGGAGCCATGAGGTCTGCGATGCTGGGGCTCAGAGCCCAGCCTGGAATTCCTCAGTGGCTTTCGCTGCGAATGACTCAGCATCATAAATAGCTCCCATCTGGAAGAGCAATGATATCTATAGCGATCAAGCATCTCTATATCCACACACATTCTCTCTGTGCAAATATGTGGCTCACTGTATGCTAAATATGAGGTGGCCTGGAGACGTTCCTCCTCTAAAAGACTATTTGGTATGAAACTCGAGACTGTTTATTTAAAGAAACAAGTTTACAACTATGCACATTGGATTACTGGTGGTGGGTGGTGGGGAAGAGACAACGTAGATGAAGTGACGCTGGGTATGATCTGAGCTTGGCCGGCCACATGGAAGAGGAGCCGAGGTTGATTGCTCCATACTTGGTCCCTCTGTCTGCAGCAGGAGGGGGTAGTAGACGTCTCACTCAAGATGCCTGAGATCCTGGGATGGGGTGGGAGGGGCTGGGATGCTGAGCATCAAAGTGAAAGGCTGTGATTCAGCAGAAAGAGCACAGGACCTGGCTATGACTGGAGAGCCAGGTTCCAGCTCAGCCTTGCTCTGCTTTTCCTACTGGGCACCTCATCAGTTAGACCATTCATTAATCAAGAACATGCTAAGCACTACAGCACGCATAGGCCACTGGACCACAGATTAGACAATGTAGTTAGGAATTCAGCCTCAGCTCCTACCAGCTAGATTGCTTTGGGCAAGTCCTTTCCCACGTGTGAACTTCGGTTTCCTCATCTGTAACTGCGGATAGTAATATATACCTCAGTGTTTTTGAGGAGAGCACGGAGTAGGAAAGTGCACCAGAAAAAAAATTCTGTTGTACATGACTCTGAAGATTCACTCCAACATTGTTCTGCCACATCACCAAACTGACCCGTCACATTCCAGCTCAGGGGAATCCTTGGCAATCATGGGGGATAGGAAATGTCACCATGATGATCTTCATCAGAGACCCCAGAGCAGGGGCTTCCTGAACCTCACCCATGGGTGTGACCCCGGGCAGCACTCTTACCTTTGCTTCCTGGTCGAGCTGGAGCGCGGGAGCCTTCAGTCACTGGGCACAGCAGACAGCATGTCAGAGATGCTCAACTTCCTGTGGGAGAGGGAGGATTCTGAGGTGAGGCGGGAGCTGCTGAGTTGTGTTCCTGAATGGGCCTGGAAGCCCCGTGCCACTGAAGATGTGTCCTCACCACTCCCAAGGCTTCCACCCTCCTCTTGTTTCTAGCCAGGGTCTAGGGCAGGATGGGCCCCTATCTGGCTTCAAACTGAGTACCTGGTCCCACTTCACCTAATCTGATAGCAGTTTTCCATTTTGTTCATCTTGCTCATGGGCTTGGACCACTGGCCACACTGTTTTTAGGACTTAAATGTGTTTTCTGAGCAATGTTAATGGGCAGGCTTTATTGCCAATTATATCTAATTTTCAGTTTGGCTCTGGGGAAATCCATCTTTTGGAGCGTCAGTCTCCTCATCTACAAAATGGGTCTTTTAATAGTACCAACCTCCTACACTAAGTGCTATAAAAATGTTGTTTACTGTTATTGTATGTTACTGCTATTGTATGTTACTGTATTTGTTACTGTTATTGTATGCTACTGTATTTGTATGTTACTGTATGTATGTTACTGTATGTACTGTATTTGTATGTTACTGTATTTGTATGTTACTGTTATTGTATGTTGTGTACTGTTATTGTATGTTATTATATAAGATTGTATCTAGAAGATACATGTTACACTGTAGCCCCTCAAATTTACATTATCTTCCTTGCTTTATTCTAGGGGCATCAAACATTCTTTAAGAGGCAGATCTTACGTGGGGCCTACAGAATGTGGGCATCTGGCCAGTATTTGTTGACTGCATTGCAGGACAAGTTTGGTAGATTTGCTTTCACTTACAGGAAATTAGTGAGATCGAATTTCCATCATCATTTTATAGGTGAGAAGATGGGCACAGATGGGCCAAACCAGCTGATCAAGATCACACAGACGTAGGTGCAGAACCGGGATCTGAACCCACAATTGTAGCTCTCCCACCCTGGTTCCTTTCTGTTGCAGCCAGAGCCTCTCTTAGCCGAGCAATAAGGTCAAGGCCACCAAAAGGGCCTTCACTCTGTGCTGACTTCCTGATCCCTCTGCATTTGGTTACATCCCTCCCTGACTGTTTCCTCTTCTTTTCAGTAACAAGTCCTGCTCACAGTGGTCCAGGGGAGCAGGTACTGTTGCCTCACTGGCTCACTTCCAGAAGAGGGGACTGCAGTTTCAGAAGCATGAACACCTGCCCAGACCATCGGGATAGTATGTGGTAAAGAGGGATTCCAACACAGATAGCTGGCCCCAGGCCTTTATGCCATTGTCAGTCTCTGAGACCCCTTGGAAAGCAGCCATGTGACCCCTCAGCCTCAGCCATGTGACCATGCTTAACTTCCTCCATGACACTATAGTCCACTCACACAATGCCAGCCCCCTACCCCACTGCCAGAACAGCAGGTCCCCGAGGCAAGCCTGGCTGTTCCCTGAGCCTGGCACCTAGCAGAGCCTGGTAAGCTTATCTGTTGAGTGAGTGAGCGAATGAATGAGTGACTAAGTGGGTGAATGACTGTGCCAGGCCGTATTCTGACTGCGGGTGACACAGCTGTGAAAAGGGCAGGCATGATGCCTACTCTTAGGGAGCTGACAATATTTGAGTTTAAAATTCACAGCTGGATTGGAAACAGGGCAGAGTTACTGTTTTCTGATGAGCTGGAGTGGGGAGTTGAGGAGGGAGTGTGTCTGTGGGGTGGAGCCCGCTGTCTGCCCAGGGAAAGGGCATCTCAGTGCACATGGCACCTTCCCTGCACTTGGACAGGGCCACCTGGTGTAGGGTCAGCTGTCTGACCTTTAAGAAAGCAAGACAAGAAAAATAGGTGTTGCAATTAAATGTTTAATGTTAACCTACCAGTATTGCTGAGTTCCAAACAGCTAACGTATTGCTGGTACATAGTAGATGCTCAGGGAACTTTCATAAATGGACGAATTCTGGGCAGAGAGCATGTCAGGATGACGTAGCTTATAGGAATCTAAAGGAGTGACTCTCGGGTTGGTTATGACTTTATTTGAATGGGAGGCATTCATGTTACCCCTTCACACAGCAGTTATCCTCCCTGTGTGGGGAGGGACACTTTTGGTGAACTTGCCATATTTCTGACCCTTCATAACCATTATCTCTAACACTCTCATTGCCCTGGAAAGGCCCAAGTTATAATTCCTGCCCAGAGAGTATGGAAAGGAGCCTCAGTGAGGGCTTGATCTTGCACAGTTGGAGCGCAGGTCTCCTGTCTTACTCTAAGAGTACAATGTAAAACATTCACAGCCTAACGGGGACAGTGGAATGCAGTGTGACTCCCACCCTAAGGCAGGTGGTACTTCAAGGTACTTCACTTAGTCAGGAGCAACTGAGAGGGATTTCCTGAGAAGGCCACTTAGGCCAGGTGGACGGTGGAGTGGGAAGGGTACTCCAGGCAGAAGAACCTGCATTCACAAGGGCATGGAGGGAGTATGGTCTACCCAGGGAACTTGGAGCAATGTGATTAGGCTAGAGCCCTGGGGTGGAAGATGAGATGGCAGGCTGTCTGGCCCTTTTCTGAGGATCTTAGAGGAGCTAAGGGTGATGGGGAGCCATCCTTAGGCTCTGCTTTGTGCTTCAAGAGAGAACCCTTAAGGGGCATTAGGGGTGTGGGGATAAGAATGCAATTTGCTAGGTAATGGGCAGGGAGGGGTGCCAGCGCAGGATCTACTGGGAGCAAAGGTAGGAGGAGTAGAACAGTGGACACGTGCTTGGTGAGATGTGGATCTAAGGGAGGAGGGGACTTGGTCTCTGGACAAGGTGATGCAGTGACATGGGCAAGGCTGTGGGAGACAATTCTCTCACTGCCTGACCCACCCTGGGGAACTGGAGGTCTTGTCCCAGCTTCCAAGAAAATCACTGTGCAGGTACCTGCCCCAGCCCCAGCCCCAGTTCCAGCTCCAGCTCCAGCTCCAGCCCTAGCAGCTACCTGACTGGTTCCAAACGGTGTCTTAGCAACCATGCAGCTCTCACCTTGGCAACGTGAGCCTCTGCACTCTCCTCCCCTGATTGGGCTGGAAGGGAAGGTGGAACTGGAATGCTTCCTGACCTCTATACCTGCCCAGGGTACCGACCAATCATATGAGAGTGGTGGGTCCGGATCTTGGGAGGATTCTGGGAGCCATGGGAGTCAGGCTCTGACCTCCTGGCTGATGCTCTGTCTGAGTGACTGTGAAGAAGCCTCTTTCTCTACACAGCCCTCGGCTTTACTTCTCTAATATGAGAAGGTCAGACAATACCATTACTAGAGTTGACCACTGTTCTCATTCCGTGGTTATAGATTGGATGTTCCATTCCTGACACAGGTTTCAGTGTTCGATTCCAGGGATTTAAATCCTGGCTAACTTGGACAAGTCATTTCACCCAAGGACAGATTTCTTTTTCTCTGCAAAATGGATATATCTCATGCTGTTTTACTCAAAAGGTTATGACAGCCAATTAAAATGATATAAACTAAACAGTTTATAAATAGCAAAGTGCTATGCAAATGTTATCTATCCCATTGAATCACACAGGCTCTTCCCAATAGCAGTTTATTGAACTTGCAAAAAAGCAAGTGTTTATTGAACACTTAGTATGTGCCAAGCATTCAGGTGACTGTTTTCCTAACATCATCTCAGTTTATCTTCACAATGACCAGAGATGCTACCTGGTCATTTTTATTTCCATTTTACAGATGAACAAAATGGAGGCCCCATCTGGAGAAATGCAGAAAGAGCACAGTCACACTCCCTGGCTTCAGAATTTAAATTTAAAATTTAATGAAGGATCTATCTCAAGACCTTTTCTTTCCAACTTGAGATTTTTCTCTTGCCTGAAGTCAAGATCTAACTAAGTGCTCAGTGGGCAGGGAAGCAACACTACCACGTAACAAGCATCTCTTATGTGCCAAGAATCAACCGCTTCCTTGGATTTAACATGCATTCCAATCGCCTGGAAGTCTTGTTAAGATGCAGATTCTGATACAGCAGATTTGGGATGCAGCTGAGACTTCACATTTCTTACATGTGCTCAGGTAATGATGATGGGGGTTAGTGAGCCATGCTTCGAGTTGCCAGGCATGAAAGGATGCCTGAGATGATTGTATTGAATCATAGGAAATTGACTTTTTAGCCCTGGGTTCACAGATGCGGAACTTGAGGCCTGAGAGATGGAGCCCACTATCTCCGGCCCCACAACACACAGGGACGAAGCTGCATGCAGGCCCCCTTGACATCACACGGCGCCTGAGGTGGCAGACCTGCATCTCCTCCTCACTGTGTGGTCCCTGATTTCAGCTTGTATCTCTGTGGACAGATCTGGGACAGGTGCCTCTCTCATTGGCCTCGTGCTGACCTCGGCTGCCTCTATCTTCTCCCTCCCACTCCGGCCTCATGGCATTAGGATGCTGCCTGCGAGCCCCTGCAGTGGCCACCGCAGCCGGCGGCTGATGGGTTTAGTTCCCAGCAGGTGCATCTTGCAGATGCATCCCTTGGCCTGCCCTTTGGCTGACCTGCTCTGGAGATGGCAGTGGGGACTGGGGGCCTCAGGGAAAATTCAGGGGATCACTGATACGGGCTTCTCCCTATCAAACACCTTCCTGGCTGCATGATTAAGGGAAGTGACTTAACCATAATTTGAATTATACCACCCCTCTACCTCATAAACAGAGTTCACACAGCGTTCAAGGCCTTTTCTGACCTGTCCCCTGCAGCCTCTCTGCCCTTTTTGTCCACCACTCTCCCCCTTGCTTACTATGTTTCTATCCTGCAACCTTGGGTGGCTTTTCCCTGCCCCAGGACATCTGAACTTTCTGTTTCTGCTGGCTGGATGCTTCGCCTGCAGCCAGCCTGTTCTCCCCATTGAGACGTCAGCTTCAATACCTCTTCCTTAAAGTCTTACCTTAAACAACTTTAAAGGTCTATCCTAAAACAACCCTCAACCTTTTTGGACAGCTCACCCTCATTTTATTTCCTTGCTAGCATTTATAGGATCTGGAGAAATTATTTTATATGTTTACATTTTTTTCTGTCCTCTCACTAGGATTTGAGCAATCTCCTCCTGTCCAGCTCGTTCTTTGCTGTCTCTACAGCTCCTAAAGCAGTTATCACCCCATTTCATGGAGTCAGGCAGTGCTAATGACTCAGTGAGCCATTCTCTGGGCTTCTATTTCCACATTTGGAAAATGGGATGATAGCTCTCATCATACAAGGTTATTGAAAGAATCAGAGGCATGTTTGCACATATCCTGTCAGTGGACAAAATGAACCAGTGTGACCCAGTAATATCATCCCCATTTTATGGATGATGAACTTGAAGCTAAGAGAAATGATAGGATTTGCCCCAAATCACAGACCTGGGAAGCTCCAGGCCTGGGGCTCTCTCCCATGGAGAAGTGCTTGGCTCTGAGCCTGCTTGAGTAGGCGTTCAGCATGGAGAGCTGGGGCTGAGCTCCTCTTGCCATCTGCTGCTTGAACTGCAAGACCTTACTTGCCTGCCTGCCTGTCACAGCTTCCTGACGAGTCAGAGACAGGAATTCTAATGGCTGGTTTTTGCGGAACACAAAGACTTGCCTCTTGTGAATGTAGAGCTACATTTTGTCTGCATTGGCAATCACCACGCTGCACGTCTGGGGAATGGTTTTCATCTTCCAGGCACTTTACCAAGATTAACTTCTGAACCCTGTCAGCAATGCTTGCTGCAGATTGAGGGGGTGGCAGGGGAAGTGCGGGCAGGGCTGTCTTTTGTCTCAAGAGAATGTGTGCTTCGGAGGGGCTTGAGACCCTCGAGATGACACCTCTAGATATTTGGTCTATTTCCCTGCGAGTGGCTGCTCTGCTGTCCTAAATACTTTGACCTTCTAGAGGATTCAGGGTTTCTGCTGTTTTCCATCCTATTTGGTCACTGACTCTGCAATGTATTTATTCCACAAATATTTACTGACAGTGTCCTGAGCACTCTCTTTCACACTGAGGATGCAATGGTGGAACAAAATACATACTGTTCTTGTCCTCCTACAGATATTAGACCAGTAGGGGAGATGGATGAGAGCTCTGCCTGGCTCTGCAGCTGTGGGTAAGCACCCTTCCTGCTCTGGACCTGTGGTTTTTATCTTAATCTCTACTCCTAACCTCCCTGCTTAAAAGCCCCCATTGCTTATGGAGGGTGATGGGCATCTCTGACCTGGGGTTCAAAGTCCCTCAAGTTGGGCGCCAGGTGACACTCAGCAGATGCCACCTGCTCTCCCACCCCTACTTTACCCTATTTTTAGTGAGCAGTGTTCATAGGTGCCAGGGCTGAGCGCTTCATCAGTGTTAACTTGCTCAGTCCTCATAGAAACTGCTTGAAGTAAGGATTTGGAATCTCACCACTTGTTTTAAGCATGATGACATCCACGCACACAGAGGTGAATAACCTGCCTAAATCCACTCAGTTACTCAATGGCAGGACCGGGGTTTGCACCCAGGCAGCCTGGCTCTTGCACTGTGCCCTCCACTGCTGTCTTTGTTGCCTCTTGAACCGCCTGTGAACCACCCTGGTGCACTCTCTTTTTCAGGTGTAACTCAACATCCACTGCCCACCCGTGTGAAGCTTCCCCGATCTCCCCCAACCCTGGGGGCTGAATAACTTCTCAGCTCCGTGTCCTCACAATGACTTTTATATCCCTATCCCAGGCAGCCCTCCTCATGGACTGTGGTGGTTCTTGTTCATGTATTTTTTCCCTTAACTTAACGCTGATTACCTCAAGCCGGAGAAAGCTGTGTCTCACCCTCCCTGCCTCCTCTCTACTCAGCCCAGCATCTCATATCATCCATTTTCCATGCAACAACCACAAGCGTGGTTTAAAAAAACAAAGCCCAGTTTTATGTCTTGCTTAAAAGTGTTCAACAATGACCCATTACATTTTGATTAAAATCCCAAATTTTGATCGCGGCCCAGAAGGCTCTGCATGCTCTAATCCTGCTCCCTCCTTCCCCTTATCTCCTGCCACTCCCCTGCTTGCTCACTGTGCTCCATCCACACTGGATTTCCCTAAACAGTCCATTCTCGTGTTAGGGCCTCTGCCAGGGCTTGTTCCTCTGTCTAGACTGTTCTTCCTCACCCCTTACATCACTGACTTGTTATTCAGACCTCTGTTCCACGTTACCATTTCAGAAAGGACTTTCTCGCCTGTCTGTCTGTTTGTATGTTTCCATATTTACTTTTTAATTGTTATTAATGATGGTGTCTACTGTGAGTCTGTAAGCCTCAGGAGAGCAGGTGTCAGAGGTGTCTTGTTCTGCAGTGTCACCAGGACCTGGAAGAGTACTTGCCACAGAACAGTCACTCAATGAATAAGTGTCTTGAAGGAACAGTTGAGACTCACCAAGTCCCTTTGGGACTCCATATATTGCAATTCAACTAGGCCCAGGTAATATAATGCATCTAAATCAGTCTCTTCCCAGGCTAATAGCTGGGATAATTTCACAAGCTGAAGATTGCTATTTTTATCACCTCCCTTTTGTCTTGCCTGTCATGATAGTACCAGAAGTAAAGCAATTTCACTGGCCATTCTCTTCTGAGTTTCCTTTGCTGGAGATGCTGAGAACTCCTTGCCTGTGTTCTCATTTGTCCTTCTGAGACTTAGGGAGACTTGTGAACTACTATCTCCCTCATTCTGCAGGCAGAGAGGCTTCCCTGAAAAGTGAAAACACTGATATGTGTAGTTACAACCTCAGACTTGTGTACATATTCCCATCACAGTTGCCACATTTAATCAATAACTGGAGAGGCTTTTTTTCTCCAAAAAGGCATAAGAGCTCAGAGTCCTGCCAGGACCTGGGCCAGACACTACTGATTTAACACTCTAAGGGAGATGTAGGCTGTAGCTCAGAAGCATCTGGGGTCAAATTCGGGGTAAGTGGGAAAAAGAAGTCTTCGTATGAATCTGGTTAAGGCAAACAGGGCTAGAGAAATCTACAGAAATGAGATATGGGTGTCTGGCTGCAGAGTCTTTAGCTCATGAGGACCATGGGGTCAGCCAGGAGATCAGTAGACAGGTCAGAAGGCAGGGGCCCACTACCCTTACCTTTAATTAACTTTGAAAGTATATGGCAGGGAATTTGTCCAGGGATCTCAAAGTCAACTGTCATATGTGGCCATCCTCTTGAGAACAAAGAAGACATTTCTTGCCCTGCTTCCCCTTCTGCCATCTCTTTGATCTGGGGGAAGGAAATAGCATCCCATGTGGTAGATGCAACAAAGAACTCTGAGGCCAAGTCTGCTAGGCAAAATGTGAGCTGTAAAGAACTGCAGATGATGCGTTCAAAGATCTTGGCCTTGGTCTCAGTGTTATGGAACTTTGGGTAAATTCCCCTCTATTCCTGACCCTTGTCTTTTTCATCTGTAAAAATGTAGCTTGATGATTTCCACACCAATGACTGCCATAACTGCAAGCCTTCTTCATGTATGAGTTCATGATTCAGATTACTTTGAAAGGAAAATGTTTTCCTTCTGGGGCTCAATTTGTCTTTTGATCTGCTTTTCAAATAGTCACTGGCCTGTAGCGCCCGTATAGGTAGTGGAATGGAATAATTCTGGCTTAGCTAAACCTTCTGGGAGTTGATATTCCCTTTGTCTTTTCTTTTGTTTTGTCTTCTGGGAGGTTTTTCTAATGCCTGTGGCTTATCACCAATGTGGCCTATCTCTCAAAATTTTCTACCAAGGACCGGAATGTTCAGAACAGATGGTGGAGGAGGGAAGGGCAAGATCTGAGTTAGTGACTCCCAAGGTGGTAGAGCATCTGAACGGCAAAAGTTGTTATCGATGTGAAAAGCCCTAATGTACGGCATTAGACCATACAGTGCCTTGGGTTTGCTTCAAAATAAGTCATTGTGCATACGTGTGGTCACCAGGGTGTGGATGTGCATGACGAGAGTGGGCAGGTAGAGACAAAACAAGATGGGCCAGCTGCTGAAGCTGGATGAGTAGGACGTGGGCTTTGTTATACTGTTTCTATTTTTCAAAATGTGTCTGAAATATTTCATTATAAAAAGGCCTTCAAATGCTGGCTTCAGTCTTTATAGTGTCATTTCACAGTCCCCATTCTGAGAACCTTCTGGCATGGTGACATCACCTGGTGGCTGTGATTTCACACCTCTAGGCCTTTACACACAGCTCCATCTGTCTGAGGTCCTTCTCTTCTTCCCCCCACAGGTCAACATTCCTGCCTCTGAAATTGCACAGTCTTGCTTGCTATCGTCAACACTTATCACACAATATTGCAATTCTGTGCTTTCTTTTTTGCTTCAGTGGGACACTTTTCCACCCCTCCAGTGCACAGCCGGTGCTTGGCATATAATGTGTCTGCAGTGCATGCCTGCAGAAGGAATGGTAACATTAATGAAAGCTACCACGTTTTGAGTATTTACTATGTGCCAAGTGGGGCACCAAGCTCATTTCATAGCTATTTCATTATAGCCTTACCCCAAGTGGGTACTATTAATCTTCTCATTCCCCCTTTACAGCTGAAGATGGTCTCAGGAGGCTACTTGCACAAGGTCATGTGTTAGTAAGTGACAGAACTGGGGACCCAGAATGGAAACCACTTTGCTCTCCTTGTTTCTGAGACTTTATGACTTCTCCATGAAGATTAAACAATAGCCCCAAGAGTTAAGGAGCCAGAGTTTTAGGCTACCAAATAGCTGAGTGACCTTGGGTGAATCACCTCTGCCCCCTAGGCCCGATCTCCGGGTGAGAATATCCGTGAGCTGGAGTATCACGTGACCCGAGGGCCCTCCCAGCGTCAGCTCTCAGAGAAAAGGTTTCTCTTTCTCCCTTGGTTTCCTGCCGCGGAGCTGGCTGCCCTGCTTGGGAACCTCCCAGCTTCGCAGACTCCCTCAACCTCTTTTCTTGCTAATTGCGGTCTCCTAGAGCTAAGCCGCGTTTGCAAAGTGCTACCCGGGTCGCCTCCTACCCATTCCCTTCCCGGCGGACTGGGATTTCTCCGGGGGTGGGGTTGGAACCCTGGACGAGAGGGAGGGGAGCGCGTAGCTGCCCCGTGCATTCCCGCGGCTTCCCCGCCGCTCCTCGGCCCCCTCCCCCCGACGGAAACTCAGCCTCACACTTTCTAGGGATGTTCCGGGGACAGCCAGAGTCAGTGCTTGCAGCTGCCAGCCGCGGGCATCTGGATTAGTCTCTCCCAAGTCCGTGACTCTGAGCGGGGGAGGGGGACCCGGAGGAAACCGGACGGAGTACTCCTTCCTCCCAGCCCAGACTAGGCCCAACTCGCCCCAGCGGAGCCCGGGACTCTTCTTTGTCTGCCTCTCCTTCCACCCTCTTAACGGACTCCCAGCTGAGACCCGCCATTGCTCCTCCAGGCCTTGGCGAACTGCAGACCCAAGCCGGGGACGCGCAGCTGTGACTAGGCCCCCCTCTCCAGCTCGCTCGTGCCGCCACTCTGGGAGAAGCCGAAATCCCCCGATCGCTGCAACCACCCCTCCCTCAAGGAACAGCCGAGGCCCCGGCCCCCGGCTTTGGTGTCGCTCCCAGGACCCGGGAGCGGGGGAGCTGTCCGCCGCCGCGGTGCTGACGCGGGCAGAGCATCCCGCAGGGGCGAGGGACGGTCCTCGGCGGCCGCGCTGCGGAGCCGGAGCCGAGAGAGGAGAGGAGACCGCCCGGCGGCCGCTGTCCGCCTGTGCAGGGCGGGCCCGGGGAGGGGACCGCGCCGGGCGCGGGCGCTGTCCCCGAGCTGGTTCTGAAGGGAGCAGGCGCCCAGCGCCCCCGCCTCGCCCTGGAGGAGCCGGCGCCGCTGAGAGCTGCCGAGAGAGAGGGAGGCCGGAGGGAGCCGCCTCGGGGAGCTCGGCGGAGCGGGGCCTGTGGCTGGGGTCTCTCCAGCGAACCCGCTCCAGCGAGGAGGTGGCGGCTCAGAGCAGGGAGCGAGCGCGCGTTCTACGAACCTGTTGGAGGCTGCAGCTCCTCCGCGGCCGAACACGGCGCCCGGGACCGAGGTTCTGGCGCGCCTCTCCCTCCCCCTCTTCCTTGACTCCTCCGCCGAGGCGCTCCCTCCTGCCTGGGTTAGCACATGTGCACGCGGACGGCGCGGAGCCCCTTTGCTGTCCGCCCCGAATACCAGCCGAGCTGCAGGGCACAGAGCCGAGAGGCCTCCTCCAAGGGCAGACCCGCTCCCAGGGAGACCCGAGCTTCCTGAGAAAAGAGGCGGGGGCTGGCAGCGGGACGGGAGAGGGCGCAGCAGAGGTGACTGTGAAAACAAGAGGGACACATGGGGAGTTTCCCCTACAGACAGTTCTGCCTTGAAGTTTGGGGACTTTTGGGGTCAGTCACTAGGGCATCCTGCCTTAGAACTCTCTTTCCCTCTTTCTTCCTTTCTGTGACTAATAAACAAATATAGATTTTACGCTACCTGCTCCGTCTCAAACTCCACTCCCTGGTCCAGCTGCCTCTTGTAACTCATTCCTGTCTGTCCTCAGCCATGACCCTGCAGAGATCTTTCCAAAGGTACGATATGTAAGGCGCTTCACCAGCAAGACCGGAACCCCCTTCCTACCGTGGTCTCACCGTGCCGGAGGACCACTCATTCTGAAAGGCTCAGCCCAGAACCTTAGCACCTGTTGTTTGTTTTGTTCGGCTGCAATTTTTTTCCCTCTTTACTACTTACGCTTAATCTGCAAATTAAGATGCTTTTGTTTTCAGTGAAAAATTTCTGACCCATGCAGTAATATCTGTAGGCTCTCCCAGCCTTCACATCCATCTGCCAGATTTCCTATCATACTGTGTGCCATAACGAGCTACAAGCATATATCCTCAGCTACCGGGCTCGTCAAAACTGGTTTCATATTTTATTTTTCTCTGTATCTCCATCTCCTCATATGGTGATGGACACACAATAGATGATATCTGCTGAGTGAATGTACACATGCAAAGCAGGACGCAAAGGAACATACTTTTCTTTGTGCAATTGCTCATTTGATTTCTATATATATATATATATTTTTATCACAGTCTGCAAGGCCCCTCAGGGCAGCATGCTTATCACCAATAACTGAGTCAGAAACACCCCCTACGATGACCTCCATTTGTAACAAGCTGCTTTTAGAATTAAAAAAAAAAAATTAGTGGCTATTTTTTTCTGTTTGAGAGTTTCATCATCTTGACTCACATGGCTGAATCTTTTTTGCCATTTGGATTTTAGCTCCACTTTCGCCTCCTCGAAGAGGCCTTCTCTGACCACCTAACACGTTCTCCCTGTTACTCTGTAGCATTAACTTAATTCTTTTAGTGCTCATTGCTGTCTGAAATCACTTTACAGTCATCCCTCAGTAGTGTGGAGAACTGTTTCCAGGGTTCCCCACTGATACCAAAATCAGAGGATGCACAAGTTCTTTACGTAAAATGGCATTGTATTTGAGTGCAGCCTACCCACACCCTCCCATATACTTTAAATCATCTCTGAATTGCTCGTAATACCTAACACAATGTAAAGGCTATATAAATAGTTGTTATACTGTATTGTTTAGGAAGTAATGACAAGGAAAATGTTTTCGGTAAAACATTTTTATACTCTAAACTCTAATAATGGTGACACTATTTCTGGTACTACCATGCACGCTGAAGATGTAGAATTAAAACATAGCTTGTGGCATCTAGGATTTTACACTAGTAGGAGACACACACATACAAAAAATACAAATTTTCCACAAATATTTTTAACACAAAGCTGGTTGAAGCTAAGAACGTGAAACCAGCAGACACACAGTGCCAACTGTATTTATATACCTACTTATTTGCCTTTGGTTTTCCCCCAGTGAGAACTGAAACTACCGTGGGCAAGGATCATGCCTGTACTGCTAATCCAGCGTTGGTTAGTATTCTAAGTGGAACTGTTTAGAGTATCTTTCTCTTTGCAAGAGCTTGAGCTATTGTTGTGCAGGTTATTGTGGAATTGCATATGAGGCATAAATTAACTGGAACATTTAAGGAAATAGGAACATATGGATAGGGAAGGAGAGGAAGTGGAGGGTCTTACTGATTTGTGCTGCTATACTAGTACCACAGTATAATTATCACAAACAGTAATGTATTGGCTCATGGTTCAGGTGGCTGGAAAGTCCAGCACAGAAGGCCTTCCTACTGTGTTATCTCATAATGAAAGATGGGGTAGGGAGGGCAGGGGGACTTCTAGCCACAAGCTGTCTTATATATAATTGGCATTCATTCATTCATTCATTTGGATGGAATCCTCATAACCTAAACATCTCCCATAAGGCCACCATCCCCTACCTACACTATTCCATTGGGATTTATCTAACCAGCACACTAATCTTGGGTAATACATCCAAACCATAATATGGAAGGCCACAGACACATGACCATGGAGTTAGAGGCCTGGAAAGGAGCCCCTCTTCATCCTGTATGAAAAAACCATAACGACAACTCACTTCACACCATTTGAAGTATTTCACATTCACAAACTCATTTGATGTTTATAACGACCTTATTTGGTAGGTATTATTCTGCCCTTTTATACCTAAAACAATCGAGGCCCAAAAGGCAGACTGATGATGAAGATCAAACAGCGTGTAAGTGGTGACACTATTTCTGGTACTACCATGCACGCTGAGGATGTAGAATTAAAACATAGCTTGTGGCATCTAGGATTTTACATTAGTAGGAGACACAAACAATGAATTATCGGACAACCTGGGGAATGCTGAAGAAAGAGTCTCAACATGGAGAGAGGTTGGAAAGGGTGGGAGAGAAATGGGTAGGCTATCAAAATTAGAATAAAATTAAACTCTTTCCAACAGTAACTTCAGCTTGTTGAATGCTACGTACTATATTAGACATTTCGTATACTTTGTCTCAACTAGTCATTCCTGCTTATTCCAATCCCCATTTTACAGAAGAAACCAAGTCTCTGAGGAGGTGGAAGGCTTGACCAAGGTCATGAAACTCATCCCTGGCTGAGCTGGAATTTAACCTGAGTTTATTTGATTCAAAGCCTGGGCTTGTAACCATGATGAGCTTCTGAATCTGAATTTCTTGTGAGCAGGGATGGACTCAGGATTTTAAAATGACTCTCAGGTCATTCTGATAGATCTTCACTCTTGCTGAGAAACAGTCATGTAGAGAGCGCTGCCAGACAAGGTGAGGAAGGGATGCATACTACCTGCAGGGAGAAATTACAGAGCTGAAATTGAACCTTGAAGGATTAAATGGAGGTTTACAAGTAGACAAGAAGGAGTCAGCGTTTCTGATAGAAGAAGCAGATTATTCAAGGGCCTTAGAGTATGAAGATAAAGGGACTGTCAGAGGTTTGATGTGATGGAGTATAAGATTGATATGGGGGTGGGGGATGCAAAACTGGGCTGGAAATCATCTAGACTTTGCTATCATGTCTTTGTTTCATAGGCAGCAGAGAGCCATAGATAGCTGCTATCACCGCCTTGATTATCCCCATGGTAACAATGTTGGATCAATCCTTTACACTTCACAAAAATACTCTCTATTGACATTGGAAATATCACTCTGGTGTGATGTGGATCTGAAGTTCCAAGAAGGCACCATGCCTGTAGGCTTATTCTTGTTGTCCCCTAAAACCTAGCAGAAAACCTGGACCCGTGAAGGTGTTCAGTAAGCATTTGCTGAGGAGGAAGACTAGATGCCAGGAGTCTGGTTTACAGGCAGCTACAATAATTCAAGTAAGATAAGGCATGAGAAGCGTCACTTAGAAGAGAAGTGAATACCTCTGAGAGCCGTGGGGAGGCTGGAATTCAGCTTTCTAAAATAATTGCCGAATAATTGTAATTATTTCCCTCTCCCATAAAAGCATATTAAAACCTAGGTGGCCAACATCCTGCCAAACCAAGGCTTCCTCTGTTGCATACACTTTATGTCTTTTGGCTCCTGGATTCTGGTCCTGATGGTCTCCATTATCTGACAATGACATTATATGCCATCATGTTTTCCCTGTGTTTTAAGGGTGATCACTATGCTAATGAAACTGAATCTTGGCTCAGGAACTAATATTCACCTTCTGTCTCTCTGCCCCTCTGGGAAGTCCACATGGTCCCTGATCATAGCTAATTCACAGAGCGCTGCCTGTGTCTGTGATGTTTGCTTTGCAACAGCCTCATTTTCGTTTCATCCCTTAAATACATATCTCACCTCTGGGCTCTGGGTCATAGCTACTTTCAAGGATGGTTATTCTCAATATTAAATCCTTGATATAAATGGCTTCTTCATAGAGAAGGTTGACTTACACACATCCTCCAAAATAAATTCTCACCTCAAGTTACACTGTATGGTGTTTTATTTTCGATAACATTTGATGCTTTTTGAAACATTTTGCTATTTATTGTTTTTTTATTTTGTATTTCTTTCACTAGGGTATAATCTCCATGAGAGCGAGAACCACGACCGTTGTGCTTATCTCTGAACTTACTGTCTTAGTCTGCTGTGAGCTACTATTATACCTGAAATTAGGTATTTTGTAAAAGAACAGAACTTTTCCCCTCATGTTCTGGAGGCCAGGAAATCCAAGATCAATGATCTGGCATCTAGTAACGGCCTTCTTTCTATGTCTTCACATGGCAAAAGATGGAGGGAAAAGGGGGACAAGCACTGTGTCTTCATAAGGCAGAAAAGCAGAAGGGACAGAGCACTTTTTCATAGAGGCAAAGGTGGAGCCCTGGACACTTTTCCAGTGGCCCACTCTCAGCTCTGCTGCACTGGGCGTGGAGTTTCTAATGCATGAGTTTGGGTGGGTGCATTCAGATCATAGCACCCACAGTACTGGGCAAAGTGGCTCACTGTATGTTTGCTGAATCATGGAAAATGATGCCCTCTCTACTCTCTTTTCATATGAGTGAGCCCTAGTATCAGTTCAATACACAGTATCTCAAAAACTATAAGACTATGACACAGTGAGCAGTTAGGTAGACAATTTCTAACATCATCCATTTTGCACCTGACTTATTTTCCTACTTTTTATTGATGTTCTTAAGTCCCCGTTCTCATAATTTTGGCAAGCCAATTTATATTAATTTTGGAAGGAAGTAGAAAGAAACCTGATAACTCTTGAGCACATATTATATCTTACCCAATCATTGAAAGAGCCATTTGAAGGGAAGTCTTATCATCCCTAGTTTATAGATAAAAGAAACAGGGACCTAGAGACAAGCAGAGTAAGTGCTCACTAAGGCAGTCCCTTTGGATTGCATAAAGATTAGTTGCATGACATCAGTACACATAAATGTCAGGATATGCTATGGAATTCATGCCGTAATCAATCGAGG